CACGGTTTGCGTCCCGGACCCAGTGGCTTAAAACTCACGCCGGGCGCATGTGCGTGTGTGCCCAAGATCCCGAGAGGAGAACGGAGGAGAAGGGATTGTGGTGTGGCTATCCTCCCTGGGGGGTCATTTCTTGCTTTCTGTCTCTCTGTTTCTGTCTATCTGGTGAGTGCACGTGCTCTAAAGCAAAAAAACTTCTCAAAAAAAAAAAAAACTTAAAAAAAATTAGAATATTTCACAAAAATCTAGATTTGAGGCTTCTCTTGAAATGCCAGATCTGGCAGCCCCAAATCCAAATCCCACAGAGCAACAATTCACTACCACGGAGCAGCAGCTATACTCTTTAGAAAGGCAAACATTCATGTGTACCCAAAATCCCGAGGGGAACGGAGAAGGGATTGTGGCATGGCCACCCACCCCTGGGGTGATTTATCGCTTTCCTTTACCCTCTCCTCCAACCCCCATGCAAATGCATGCACCCTATAGCAAAACTTAAAAAGAAAGTAAAATTTGCCAGTCAGCATGGAGACATTTATTTACATCAGCTCACCTTCCTGGCCCCAGTGTGAATGTCTCTGAGGGCAGACCAGCTCTAATTCATCTATATATGCCCTCATGTTGTCTTTCAAATGGTAGGTGGTTCATATATAAATATCAAAGCACAACAGGTTCCTTCCCTACCAATTTGGAAATACAGTACAGAACGGAAAGATAACAGTACCAATCCATACCATCTCAATCTGGGGCATTTGCCATCACTCTCTCTGGTAACACTGTTTTATTGCTTGCTTAAGGTGCTAACATAGCAGTCCCTGTAAGCTTATTGCCAAATTCAGGATTTCCCAATTTGATCAGAGTGAAAACTGAAGTACTAAGTAACAAGATGAAACAAATACATGTATCAGTTCCGTAATAAATACTTCTCCAACTAGTAACATTCCCAAGGATGTTGCTGTTAGAAAAACTCAAAAGAATGCTTTGGATCCTCTTAAACAGCCACAGCATGATTCTCAATATGCAAACTTGATGAATTTAATCAAAGGAAAGCAACATAACATACAGAATCACTTAAGAGAATAATCTGGAGACCAGCAGATGATGTAATGGTTACATCGCTGGATTCCCACAGTCAACTGTGATTTAAGACCTGCACCTGGCGACTTCAAACTCACACTGTGTGTGTGTGTGTATGCTCAAAATCCCAAGAGGAGAATAGAGGAGAAGGAACTGCAGTATGGTCATCCCCCGGAGGGTGATTTCTCACTTTCTGTCTATCTGTCTCTCTGTGTGTCTTGAGTGCATGCACCCTACAGCAAAAAAACTCTTAGAAAAAAAAAAAAAAGTGAATAATCTGTTTATGTGCTACAGAACATGTGCACTAGCCAGAGAGAGAAGAGAAAACAACCCCCATGGAACATGATCACACCACAATCCCTTCACCTTCAACTCTCCCTCCTTTTGGGATTTTGGATGGACACACACACACACACACACACACACACACGGCATGTTTCTCAAGCCCCTGAGTCTAGGACTTGAACCATGCAACTGGCCATGTGGGTACAATCGCCTAAACTACCAGGCCATGGAGCTGGCCCGAAAATAATCTTAAAACGCAGGGTTGGATGTACTTATTATACTTATTAACTTTCCAGATAGTTTGATAATTCAAGGACTATTTCCCATTTATTACAGATCCCCAGTAAACTGAGGTTTTTTGTTTTTTTTTTTCATTACTCACAGTAGAGCAGTACACACGTGCACTAGAAAAAAGGGAAAGAGAGACAAGGAAAAAGAGACAGGAGCACCCTCCAGAGTCTGGTCACATGGCCATCCTTATCCTCCAGTCCTCCAGCTCATCAAATCTTAGGCACCTGCACATATCCCCTGCATGTTTCAGGCTGACTGGGCTAGGAATTCAAACTGTAGTCACCATGAAGGATCTGGCTTCTTCTGAGCAGTATTATCTCCGGGCCATGTAGCCAGTCAGCCCAATTAAGGTTTTATTGAATTTCAAAGTGAAGTTTGATAAGAGAAGGGGGAAATAAAAGCTAGAAGTAGTTGTGAAAACATTGAGTCAACCATCAGTATTCACCTAAGTGGAGAAGAGTTCTGAGTTCCAAGGTGTATCTTAATTTTTAAAAAATGCCTGCCATAGATCATGAGGCAAAAAAGGACATGGAAAAGGCATTGCCCCAACTGGGAAAGTACCTCAAAGTATAGAAGAATCAATGATGTCCCAGTTATCAGGCTTATAAAAAGCATGAAGAAAATCCAGGAAGACAAACCAACCAAACCTTAAAATGCAATAAATCAGTGTTTATTTTATAAAACTGACAAAGTGCCTTGTATTTCAGAGACTATTTCACCATATGGGAAAATGTATATCCTCAAATTATAAACAAATGCAATTTCAAAACTATCCTGAAAAATAATGTATCTCTGTAACTATTTAAATGTTACTATTTAAATCTGAAAATTGAGTCTCATGAGAATTTGTAGAAGAAAGCTATTTTTTAAAAGATTTATTAATTTTTAATTTTATTTATTATCATTACTCTTCAATTTTGACCAGAGAGAGACAGAGAGAAAGGAAGAGTGAGAAAGTAAGCTGCCAGGTCCAGGACTCGAACCATGATCAGCCATGTGGGAGTCCACCGCCTCAACCACCACATTACCTGTAGGCCCTGAAGCAAGTTATTTAAGACTGCTGTGGGCATGGCACCAATTCGGGCTATCTGGAAAGGACGCTGAGAGCAGCTATAAAATCATTTGTACTTCTGGATCTGACTATTCGACTTCTAGGCTTTTGCCCCATATATTAATAAATAATAAAGGGAAAAGAAAGTAATGTAAACGAAGATACTCACAAGAATAGAAACAATCTGGTTATGTACTAATATGGAAACTGCTAAATGATGATGATATACTTACACAAAGGGAACGATTCATACTTATTAAAATCACAACTATGGGACTAACAGATGACATAATGGTTACTGCTGGACTCCCACTTAGTTGACCACAGTTTGAGTCCCAGACCTGGCAGCCTGAAACTCACACCAGTCACATATGCATGCGTGTCCAAAATCCTGAGAGGAAAACGGAGGAGAAGGAATTGTAGCATGGCCATCTCCCCTGGGGGGGTGATTTCTTGCTTTCTCTCTCAAACCACAGTTGACCACTTGAGAGTCCAGCAATGCAACCACTATGCCATCTGCTGGTCTCAACACCTAGTGTGATTTTCAAGTGATCAGATCCAGGACTTGAATCGGAATCAGCCATGTGGGAGTTCAGCACCTTAAAAACCACACTATCTGCTGGCCCCCACAGATGGATTTCTATTGTTGTTTTTGAGAGAGATTTTTGCTGTAGGGTGCGTGTGTTTGCCAGAGAGACAGAAAGCAAGACAAATCACCCCCCGGGGGGATGGCCATGCCACAATCCCTTCTCCTCCATTTTCTTCTCAGGATTTTGGGCACACACACACACGCACCTGGCATGAGTTTAAGCCACCAGGTCTGGGACTCGAACCGTGGTCAGCTACATGGGAGTCCAAAGACGTAACCATTATGCCATTTGCTGGTCCTGGATAGTTGGATATTTTTAAAGTAGGCAGTTAGGTAACTTCATGCAGTATGTATAACTGTTAGCATTTAAAATTATATGTGATCTTCCACTTATGGGTTTGTGTTTCTACAAGTAATTATAATCAGTGCCCAAGTTATAGGCAATACATTTTGGCAGGCAGTGAAAATCATTTTTAGCCTATGATTTTAGAATAGCTTATCAATATTCTTATCAAAGATTCTGATGCCTATTTGGTACCCGGTATATAATATTTAGAGATAGTTGATGTCCTTTTCCCATCCAGAGTATTTTCTAATAAACATTTGTAGTTTGCCAAAACTACATAATTATCTTTTTATTTCTACTACAGGGCGCAGGTGCTCACAGGGTTGTGGGGTGGGAGAGAGAAAATAAGAAAGCATGCCCCAGGGAGAAAGACTACACTGCAATCCCTTTTCTATTCTTCTCTGGAATTTTGGGTGCATGTGCACAGGCACCTGGCCTGTTTTTCAAGTCACCATGCCCGGGCCTTAAACTGTGCAGTTGGCCATGTAGGATCCAGCCACCTTAACATCGTGCCACTAGCTGGCCATATAATTGTCATTTTTTTCATTAATTAATTAATTTTAAGAGAGATTTTTGCTATAGGGCATGTGTGCTTGCCACCAGGCCCAGGACTCAAACCATGGTCAGTCATGTGGGAGTCCAGTGCCTTCACCATGTCACCTGACCCTGATCTTTCCTATATTTTACAGACAAGGAAACAAACCCAGAGAAGTTAAGTAATTCATCCAAAATGACCTAACTGCCCACTAAGACTAGAGACCCAAAATACACTGTTTTTTGCCAAAATCATTGCTGATAGGGGGAAAAATGAACAACTGAGAGGACTATATACGGAAGAAAAAAGTGTTGGAAAAAGTAATATACACTTTCTGAACCATACTATGTTTTTAAAAACAACTGAAGCTTTTTTTTTTTTTGGAGAGATTTTTCACTGTAGGGCACGTGCGCTCGCCAGACAGACAGAGAGAGACATAGAGACAGAAAGCGAGAAATCACCCCCCAGGGGGGATGGTCACGCCGCAATCCCTTCTCCTCCATTCTCCTCTCAGGCTCTTGGGCACGCAAGTACATGCACTCGGCATGAGTTTAAGCCACCGGGTTCAGGACTGGAACCACGGTGGGCTACATGGGTGTCCAGCGACATAGCCATTACATCAACTGCTGGTCCCGTCATGAAACTTCATAAAAATGATTTTCTTCTCTTAAGAAAAAAAAGAGGATCGTGGGAGGGAGCATGTACTTGGGGATCAGAGAAACAATGCTGTTACAGGTATCTCATATAATCAACACTTGTATGGTTGGTTGTTTTTATGAGTATACACTAAGACATGCAAATGAAATAAAACGAGAATTCTGAGGTCTCTTACCTGTACAGAGAAGTCCATCTTTGTAGTAAAGTGCATACACTCTGGCACTGTGTCCAATTAAAGATGAGGTCTCAAAGGCTTCATGGTCCTCCAATTGCTTCATTCTCAAAATAGCCTTCAAATAAACCTTCTTCCAGTGCAAAGCGTCCTGAACAGAATCATCTATCTGCCAGCCCAAATTTTTACATGCAGTCTGCCACACCTCTGTACAGGCACTTATCACCTTATTCCACTGTTTAGAGACGAGGCAGCATGTGAGTAAAGTCTGAGGATCGAGCCATTTTAACAAATAAAAACTGAGCTCCAGGGGAAGGAGTTTGAGGAAGTCCCGCTTGAGGAGAGTCTCCAGGTTATTGGAGAGATGCCTGAGCTGGACTGCCCCACTCAGACTAATCAGGTGATCCAGAGTTTCATTTTTCTGCAAGTCCGTCAGAGAAAGAAATGTAACAGAAATGTTATCAAGCCATGTCTCAAAGTCCTTTCTCTCCATAAGGTTATGGAAAAATTTACCTGTGGCACATCAAAATATTGTATTAGTTCTGCTCAAAAAGACCGTTCAAGTAAGACTGCTAATAAATGAAGTATTAAAAATTAGTGTCAAAACTTGGCATTACAATTTTATGCTTAGTTACTACAACTTCACAGTTAATACATTATATTGATTTGAAAATGTCCATGCACACTGAAGAAAATACATCTGAGAACATACTTTTACAAATCATGATGTTTGAAACATAAGTCAGTTCCTTTTGAAGTCTAGCACATGCTACATGCATCTTCACAGTAAAGCATTTACAAAGTATTCATTTATTACCAAACAGTGTATATTATAATATACCTCCACAACAAAACCATTATAAAACAACAGTGTCTCCTTATTAATTCCTCAGTATGCCCTATTTGGGCACCAAAATCATAAAATTAAACACCAGGATGTAACAACCAGAAAGCAAGTCTTCAGAGCAATAACCCAGGGTGTTAATTTCAAGTTAGGCATAACTTCATCTGTTACCAAAGTCACAAAGCTGACTACTTTCTTTTGCAATAAATGTTTAGGCAAAAAGGGTTGGGGAAAGGAAAACAAGCAGATGTAGTAAGTTATGTGCCTCAAGTATTCTGGTTCCTCCACCTTCTTAATGGCACTGCCTGTTAGAACATGAACTACCAAAAGTAATTTGGTCATAAGCTTCATATGAGCTAGAGACGACATTTTAACAATGTGCCCCAGAGAGCCTGTAAGCCTGAATTAATAAGGCAAATTTAAAAAAAATAAATAAGGCAAATTAATAATCTTAATGATTACAAAACAAAAAAAAAAAAAAAGATATCAAAACAGGCATCTGCATCTTCACTTCGCAGATAGAAAAACTCCAGCTCAGAGATTAAATGATTTGCCCACAGTCACAGAGATATTAAAGTGCCTGTCACTCGCCCTCTCTATGAAGTCAGTGACAACCAGCAGAACTACAATCAAGTGATAAGATCTGGGGTATTGTGTCTCTCTGATTATACCATTTTCTCCTTTAGGAAAATGACAAATTGCTCTAGGAATAATTGGGCAAAAAAATGTTAAAGCATCCAACATTAGTGTCAACAGGTATCAACTCACTCTTAACAACAGGGACTAAACTAACAGAGAACAACAACAAAAAAAAGCAGTAAAAACCATCTTTCCCAAGATGGGCCATGTATTGACAGATGTTAATTAATGCTAGGTGACAGGTAAATAGTGTTTTTTTATTCTCTTTATTTTCATACATTTAAGCATTTCCATGATTTAAAAATCACTTTCACTCCAATTCGGTTACTTGCTTTCTCACAAGAATGTTACTCTTATATTAAAAACTACGTCCAAATTACTGCGGGAAAAAGAAGGAATAAATTTACCTCCAGACATGTCACCTAGATCAGATCTACACAAAAAGCCAGATCTCACCTTCCAACTTGGTTAATGTACGGTAAATACAGCCACATGCTACATACAACTTTTGGTCAATGACAGACTACATATATGACAGTGGCTCCATAGGATCAAATTATAAAAGGCTATCCCTAGGCATGTAGTAGGTTATACCAGCTAGGCTTGTGCAATACACTATAATGTTTGCAGAAGAAGGAAATCAAGGTCCATCAGGTGATGTGGTGGTTAAGGTGGCTGGATCCCACAGGGCTTACTACACAGTTCAACCTGGAGGCTTGAAAAACACACCAGGCAAGGAAGGGTGCACGCTTGCCCAAAATTCCAAGAAGAGAATGGAGGAGAAGGAACTACAGTGTGGTAATCCCCTGGGGGGTGTGCTTTCTCACTTTTCCTCTCTCTCTCCAGCTAGCACATATGCCCTACAGAACATTAAACAAAAAAGAACAAAATTGCCTAACTACGCATTTCTCAGAACATGCTTTGATTGTTAAGCGACGCATGACTACAAAGTGGCATAGTGGTTAAGGTGCTGGACACTCCACAGAGCCAACTGCGATTCGAGTCCCGGATCTGGTGGCTTCCTTTCTTACTTTCCTTCTCTCTTTCCTCCTCTGTGTCTCTCTCTGGTCAAATTAAAATAAATGAGTGAATAAATAAAATAAATAATTATTAAAAAAAAAACAAAACTCTAAGTTGCCAATATCAAATCTGGTCTGAATGTTTTCAGACAAAAGTAGTCTGATTTATCTATCAGTAGAAGCAATCCAATCTTTTAATCACATCATCTGCTGTTTAACAGTTTTTGTTGCAGGAATTATGACTGGATTTCAAAATAATGCTCTTAAAGCTGAAGAGTTTGGCTAGAGAGAGGACTCATTAATTTATATTAAGGATTTACTAGGTTGCCACATAATTAGTTTGCTAAAAGTTTTACCAACACATTACAAAATAATAAGCCCCCTCCTTCCTCTGAATCCTAACAGTTTTCTGTATTTCTGAAAAATTTCTACCTAAAAAAAAAAATTATCCACAAGACAAAATAACCTTTTTTTTGGTGGGCTAATTAACACTAAAAAGTCAAAGCACACACCAAGGGATGGCGTAATAGTTAAGCCGCTAGACTCCCACATAGTCAACCGTGGTTTGAGAACCGTCGCCGGTGGCTTAAAACTCACGCCAGGCATGTGTGTGTGTGTGTGTGTGTGTGCGCCCAAAATCTCAAAAGGAGAATGGAGAAGAAAGGATTGTAGCATGGCCAACCCCTGGGGGCAGGGGGGAGGTGGGGAGGTGACTTCTTGACTTCTGTCTGTCTGTCTCTCCGGCAAGTGCACGTGCCCTATAATAAAAATCTCTCTTAAAACACACACACACACCCCTGCTTTGAAGTTAATGTTTACAGTGAAATGTATAGGCAGTTTTCTTATTATTCTACACACAAACATAGGAGCACATACACTATGACATACACCTCTGGGTAGAGAAATGCTTTATTTATGTGAGCCGAACTGCTATTTAAATGACCCAAAGGCAGAGTTAAAGTAGCCAGTAAAACATGACCAAGGAGGAGACCAGCAGACGGTGTCATAGTTATAGCTCTAGAGCCCCACGTAGTTGACCATGGTTCAAATCCTGGACACAGTAGCTTAAAACTCACATTGGGCACATGTGTGTGCATGCCCAAAATCTCGAGAGGACAATGGAGGAGAAGGGACTGTGGCATGGCCATTGCCTCTGGGGGAGTTATTTCTCACTGTCTCTGTTTCTCTCTGGTGAGTGCACACACCCCATAGCAAAAATCTCTCTCACACACACACACAAAACAAAATAAAACAAAAACAAAAACATGATCAAGGTCCTATCATTTGTAAATCTCTAAAAGATGCCCTATAACACGCCAAATTAATATGCCCATGACACCACCAATGGTTATGGGACCAGTTTTCCAGTGTCCACCTTTATGGAGTCCAGTCATTTCTGAGGATTTATATATTCCAACTCCCAGTGAGAATTTTTCCCCCAACTCTTAGAGACTGCCCTTTAAGTTGTTCAACCTCTTATAGGAGACTTTCTTCCAGCTCTTCATCTGACTTTTATGACAAAGATTTTTTAAAATAATAAAGCAAGTTCTGTTAACTCTGTAGAACACACTATCTGAAAACACCATTTATCTTTCTGAAAGAATTTATCTATTTAGAGGCAGCTTTTTTTAAGATTTATTTTATTTAGCTTTATCCATTTTTATTTATTTATTTTTAAAAATCTGACCAGAGAAGGACAGAGTAAGAGAGAGGGAAAGTGATAAAGTAGGTCGCCAGGTCTGGGACTCGAACCGTGTTCGGCCATGTGGGAGCCCAGCACCCTCAAGCACCAAGCCACCTGCCGGTCCTGAGACAGCTTTCTTAACAACACAGGTCTAAGCTGAATTCTTTGAAAGAGGCTCTTAGAACATCATGTACTGGTTGCACAAGATCCCCAGGGAGAAACTTCAGAAAGAATTATTTCAATTCAACATGAAGAGGCACTTTTAAATCATCAGAGCTTTCCAATAATGGAATAGTGCCTCCAGAGTGATGCGCTTCCCATGACTGTTAACAGTAAGGGACAGTTAGACACAGAGGCAGAGTAGGAAATAAAAATGCTTTGTGGGGGGAGCAGGTGGTATGCTAGTTAGGATGCTGGACTCCCACATGGTTGACTGCAGTTCGAGTCCCAGATTTGGCAACTTTCTCTCTCTCTCTCCTCCCCCCCCACCCGTCTTCCCCCCCTCAGTGACCTGCTTTCTTTCTTTTAGGCGAGCACATGTGCTTTATAGCAAATTAAATAATAAATAAAATTAAATCATTATTTAAAAAGATACTTTGGAACCAGTCAAATCTATTACTGATTTGGCTGCTTCTTATGTGATCACAGGCATGTTCAATCAACTTTTTTATTAGTAGTATTTTAAAATTTTGCTATAGGGCACATGTGCTTGAGAGAGGGAGGGAGGGAGGGAGGGAGAGAGGGGGAGAGGGGGAGAGAGAGAGAGAGAGAAGGAGAGAGAGCGAGCGAGCGAGCAGCTAGGTCCAGGACTTAAAACAGTGGGAGTCCAGTGCCTCAACCACTACACCACCTGCTGGTCTCTCAATGAACTTCTACGTTTCAGTTAGTCATCTGTGAAGGGGAAGTGTCATGCAACTTGAGAATCAGAAAAAAAGGGTATCTGGTACATTCAAGGCTAACTCAAATGGCACTTCCTTAGTTTTATTACTATAGATACCTGACAGGAAAGCTTTCGGTGGCCCTCAGTTGGAACAGATAACTACTAACATCCTTTTCACCCCTGTGATCAGAGTTTCTCTTAAAGATATCTGGAAAAAAAACCTCAAGGACTTGAACTTACTAGGGGTTTAATTTTACAATTAAGGGCAGTTAATGACTTGGGGCTAGAATTTCTCACTAGGTGCCCTTTTTTCCTCTATCCCACATCCGTTGCTGTCTTGCCCTTTTCCCCTATCCTAGACTAAACATAAACTGGCTACCCCCTCCCCCAATATTAACAATCACAGAGCTCTGAGGAAATAGCTGGTGGGATGAAAAGTCTCCTAATTTGGGAGACTGAAGTCTGGATTTGGTTTCTGGTTCTGCCATTAACTCCCTAGGTTCCTTTAGGCATCTCTCATGTTTATATTGGTTTTAAAGACTAAATTACTACTCATAAACATTACCTTTTATGAAAGCCTCCTATGTATACTACTTTTAAAGGCTAAATTACTACTCATAATCAACTTCATGGAAAGGTTATCAGTATACTGCCGATACCTTAACTAATCAATGGAGGAATTTATGGTCCAAGAAGTGGCTTTCCCAGAGTTGCACAGGAAGTGGCAGGCTCAACATCTTACCCAGTCTCCACCCTTCCAAAACAAAACAAAAAACCAAAACTTGGCACCACTAGGAGTTGTGTGTTTTCTCCTCCTTACTCCACCAGGACCCAGTCTAATCAAGACTGAAAGCAAGATCTGTTTCTTGCAGTTGTGGTTGTGAAGGAGGTCGTGTCTTTTCTTATCACGCTTAATGGTGTACAGAGGGTGTGGACATTTACATATGTCTCTAACCTTACATAAATTATACTTTGAATATTCAAGAAACTGACCACACTGGTTGCCTCTTAGAGAGAACTGAGGAGTAAGAGGACTTCCTTTTTCATTGTACAACTGTTTTTTAAAGAATCATTTCATTTCAATTTAATTATTATTTTAATTTGACCAGAGACAGAGAGGGAAAGTGAAAAAGCAAACCGCCAGGTCTGGGACTGTAACCACCACGCCACCTACCAGTTCCAACTGTACAACTTTTTACACTGAAAACTGTCTCTGTGTGTGAATACCCTAACTGTTTAAATATTGCATTGGTTTTTAAAAGCTTCGAAGGAATACAAGTGGTGCTTATAAAATATTGGCTCTGCAACTCCACTTGTTGCTGGGTACCTGAGACAACTCATTCAAGCCCAGTTCCTCACTGGTGAAATGTAACCGCGAGCGGCATTACCTACGAGTTTTTGTGGGGATTAAACAGGACAACGCACGCAAAGCGTCTAGCACTGCACAATAAATGCCTGCTCTCGCGGTCATTTAGCACGAATACTGTTATCTTCCTTTCCAGCAGCAGCCCACGTACACACCTGTTTCCATGGCAGACCCACAATTATGGCGCAGTCCCCCCACATTAGCACACTGCTTTGTAGTTCACAAACCACCTCTCCAGACTTCATCAGCTTTCTAAGTCGGGGTAGCCCTGGGACTGCATCGTTAACTCATTTCTCAGCTAAGGGAACCCAGGCACAAGAAGGCGGTAACTCCGAGAACCCATTTTCCCATTTCTAGAATGAACTCCCGATCCCTTCAACCCGTTCGTCGCCCCAGGTCACCAGGTCCCCAGCGCCCAGAGCCGTGTTCCGAGCGGCACTGACCTGAGCGAGCGCCCCGGGGCCCGGGACCTCGCGCCGGGCTCACATCGACTAGGCGCGCTCGGGCCGCCAGAACGTCGCAGCGG